CGAGGAAACGCTCGGCGCTAGTTCGACGTCGCCACCACTCGACGACCAGTCGTTGTCGTCGCCGCCGCAACGTCAGACGTCGTCAGACTCACTTGTGACTGACCAATCGCTGACTGCTGCGAGGTAGTGGCAAAACATGCTGCTAAATAACAGACAGACCGAAAGACTGACAAACTGATAGACCGACAGACGTGACGTGACGTGACATGACGCTCCACTGCCAACCGATCTACTCGACGGCTGCTGCTCTGCGGGCGATCCGGACCGGAAGCCGATGGTCATCGCGTCCCCCTCTACGACGGACGGGACTCGTTGGAGAGGATGGGCAGCTGGTCGGTTGGGTCACGATGTGTCGTCCATTGTGCGCCACGCTGCGGGTGGGTTTCTATGCGTGCTTGTGACCGCCGTCTATCAACACGAAGATGGGCCACCGGCCACGACACGTGGTCAACGCCTCCATCCCTCGGTCCGTTGACACAGTACGACCATCTGCTTCTCCCGACACCGAGCGCTGTCGGTAAACATTCGTAGAGTCACGCGAGTGCCGCTTCCCTCTGACGGACAAACCCATAAATCATGACCTTAAGTGAGACGAGTGCTGAAGGGTCAAGCGCAGCAACAGCATCAGCGGTCGGTGAATAAACCGGTCGCTTTATGGTCTGTGGGTTCATGGTCTGTTACGGGTCAATATCCTGTGGTGTCTTCGAGCAACCGCCTCCCGTCTCACACAGCAATCGGTCCGGTCCTCACTGTTAATGCTTTAGCAATTGGGTGCTTGAATTACCGCCTGCCCGCCCTTCGTATGACCCATGTGTCACCCATCAACCTATCGATAGTCGCTGACCTATTTGCTTGGTGTGTTTTTCCGGAAGTCTTGGACACCGACGACCTCCTTTCGATGCTTTGTTTGGAAAACCGGTTGCGACGATGAGGATCGATTCTCGACGTAGACGAATTCTAGTCGAACCTAATTGCTTTTCCCTTTCCATGCCACGAGCAACATCATCAACCGTGTGAATTTCGGCATTCGGATATTCCGGTTGCTCTGTCGTCGAACGGAAGCATCGACAATCCAATGCATGGTGCAGAAAATACAATGGAAAAAACAGCAAATTAAAAGCGTTGATAGACCAATTAAATGAAAAAATTTTATATAGCGGTAGTCGATCAACGCCTTGGCCCGTAATTATTTGTCCATAGGTGTTCCTCAACGATCCTCGACCGCCGAGGTTCAACAATGCTGATCGAGCGGCTCAATTACCACCTTTTCCCTTTCGTTTTGATGTCTGCACATATATTGTGAACTGCTTGGTTCGTAGCCACTATGAGCCTCTACTCTGAATGACACACGAGCAGTCGATGGTCAAGCCGAATCGAACGGTTATCAGTAAATAACGATGCACATCTTATTGAACAAGTTCGAGGCCAACACTTCCTCCAACGTGGGCTGCACCAGTCCTGTGAACGGATGACTGCTTGGCATAGGCATCTAATCCAAACCAACCTGAAAATGGGGCTGTCCAGCCTCCGTGCACAGTAGAAGAGGGATAACACACTAGTTGTCGCACTCTCGGT